GGTGCAGCCCATAATGGAGCATGTGTGCACAGCGTGGGCCCCGGGACCCACTCGGCTCCATCTCTCCCCGCCCAGGTGTTGCTCCCCCTGACCTGTTCCCCCTTCAGTGCAGGGCCTGGGGGGAGAAACTGTCCTGCCCATGGGGCCAGGCCTCCCACTCCCTCTCCCCATCCCCCTGCCGCTGCCAGTCCTGGTCTCTCCAGAGAGCGACCGCAGCCTCCTCCTGCAGTGGGATCCGCCTGGCTTCGCTGCACCCGCCTACGTCTTCGAGTGGGGCTGGGCCTGGGAGACCCGGGGGCCCAACAGCAGCTGGCACTATGAGCCGGGGAACATCAGCAGGGTGGTCCTGGCAGCTGTGTGGCTGTGCAGAAGTGACGGGGTGGGAGGGCAGGAGGAGGGGGAAACCGAGTCAGGATCCCCCTCCACACTCCTAGCCAGGACTTCACATCAGATCTCGTTTCGTGAACAAGGCCGTGCGGAGCGCTGTCACTGCATGCGGCACTAAGGCAGCAAGAGACGGGTCTTTGTCCTTTAGTAAGTGGCAAGGATAAGAACCTACTACTGCTCCCAGCTTGCAGAGTTACTCCCTTAGCTCTGGTGCTATGGGCTCATCAGGTCCCACGTTGGAACCCTGTTGGCAACCCAAGCACGGCTGTAGGACAAGGTGTGTCCAGCCCGATGGCAGACGCAGGCTGGGGAGGTGGAGAGATGGGGGCTTGCTGGGCTGCCTGGGGGAGGCCAGGCCAGGTGGGGGGCGGATGGGACCAGGCGGGGCAGCAGGAACAGGAGTGTGGGGCTGAGGCCTCAGAGGGTGCCAGGCGAGGGGGGAGTATAGGAATTGCCAGCTGGGAACAGGCACCTGTAACCATAAGCGAAGCTGAGGGCTTCGTGGGCCTGGGAGGGAGGGGAAGGGATTCCTGCCTGACCCCTGCGATCAGCAGATACCCAGAAGCATGTGGGTTGAGGCTTCGTGTGAGGTGCGCCCCAGCGTAGAGAAACACCCATTTGTGTGTTTGAACCCCCCTTCCCCAAAGCTCCCCTGCAGCCTCTCGCCCTGTGGGGGCTACAGGGAGAACTGGGGGGCAGCGCGCACTCTGCGAAGTGGAAGAGCCTGGAGGTTTCATCATGGTTTGTGGCTGTTGTTTCTTCCAGAGGCGATCGAGCCGGGGTATCTCTACAGCCTGACCGTCTTTGCCTTGAGTGACGGAGCCGTGCGGGCTGTCGGCTCTGCGAGCGCTTACTCCAAGCAGATCGGTAAGCACGGAGTGTGTTGGGCAGACGTGGGCAGATCCCTTCCTGCCCGAGGAGACACCTGGCCGTGCTCCAGCCAGCCCATGGGGAGGGCAGCTCACCGAAGAGAGCCAGGGGCTTGGCTGGGGAAGCATTAGCCTGGTGTGAGCTGCTGAGCTCATGTTCCCCAAGGCCTGAGGGTGGTTTGGGGAGCTCCTATGAGACCGAGTTGGGGCTATCTGGTTTCTACACATTTGGGACTCTTCAGCCCTGCAAGGAGGTGGGAGTGAGGGCTAGTGGTTAGGGCAGGACTCCTGGGGGCTATTCCCTGCTCTGCTTCTGACAGCTGAATAGCCTTAGGCAAGTCACTTTGCCACGCCATGGCTCAATATGCCTACCATTAATGGAGCGGTGGGGAGGGATGGAAAGGGCTAATATTTGTAGAGGGCTTTGAGATCCTTTTGCTGAAAAGCCTAAAACACAACAGTTGCGAATGAAGGGGGGAGGCGGATGGAGCTGGTTAACCCTTTCCTCCCCACCCGCTATGTGGCTGCAGCTCCCTTCCGTGCCCCGACCCTGCACCCCTCCCGCATCTGGCCAACGCAGGTGGAGGTGCACTGGGAGGAGATCCCGCTGGAGGAGCGAGGCGGCTTCATCCGGAACTACACCATCTCCTACACACAACAGTTGCGAATGAAGGGGGGAGGCGGATGGAGCTGGTTAACCCTTTCCTCCCCACCCGCTATGTGGCTGCAGCTCCCTTCCGTGCCCCGACCCTGCACCCCTCCCGCATCTGGCCAACGCAGGTGGAGGTGCACTGGGAGGAGATCCCGCTGGAGGAGCGAGGCGGCTTCATCCGGAACTACACCATCTCCTACCATCTCCGCCAGCAACGACGGGGGAAGCGCCCAGGGCTCCGTCCTCACCATCAGAACCAGAAGCTTAGGTGAGGCGAGGGGAGATCCAGGCGCTGTGCCCTGGGTGGGGAGAGTTGGGGGTTCAGCACTGCTCCTGGGGGCATCCCCTCGCAATGTCCCATACTGGTCCTGCCCACCCCGGGGTGAGCATCTCCCCCAGGCTTAGCTCTGTCCCCCCAACCCCCCCGCAGCGTGCGAGACACAAGGCTTGTGACTCCGCTGCTTTGCACAGCCCTGTGCACCAGGGCTCCCCAGCCCGAAGGGCTACATCCT